AAATCGCCTAATTCTCATGCAATTTCTACAATAATCATAGCTATCTTCCACCGATAGCCCAATACAATTATTTCTAAAGAGATATTCAATCTCAAAATAAATATTTTATTCAAAACTTACATAGGTGAGATATTACATATCCAATATCACTATTTATAACCACAACTTTTCAATTTCACATTTTCAATGTTAATTCCAATTATTTATGCAAAATAATGATTTAATCAAAATTAGGGCAAAATCCCTCTCTTTCCAAATATCAACCCAATTCACCAAAATCAACTATTTTGGCACAATATGTTCATATATTCAAGCCTCATACTCATTTACCTCATATACATCAAAATCCCTCTTTACATTTCACACCCAATTCCTAGATTTGTCAAAACCACAATCAAATCTCATCATCTACACACAATAGCAAATAACTAAGCTAAAAACCATGTTAGAGTGCAGAAAATTCCTACTTATTAAATATTACCATTTCCATCCTACTATGTCAAAAGTTATGGTATAATCTTAATAACACACTTTTAACCATAATGGATATAACCTTTAACCAAAACTAATTTAATTCACTAAATAGTAAGTTTATTATATTCCAAAATTTTCAAATTAATAATACCAAACCTAACTTCACATGTCTCATCTCTCAAACATAACTATATTTCAACTTAACCATTTTTCATACCAAGCTATTTAAAAAGGTAATATTTTTACCAAATTCTCTACCGATAACAATTTCATAACTTTTTCTAAAATTACTTAACCAACATGATATTTATATCAAAAATTATAAAATATGCCCAATAGTAACATCTTCAAGATTATGAGTTTGAAAGTCCATGTTTCACATTTTTATTTTCATAAAATGAACACAACTTAATCCTCAACATATCATCTTTTATAAAATATCATGAATATAATACTTTTAGAGTTTTTAATCCCAAAACAACTGTATAATTCCTACTTAAGCATTTACTCCATATTCCTCAACATTAATTTATTTTTCTCAAAAATAAATTCTAAATCAAAGATAAAAAAAATTCAACTTTATATTTCTCAAAATAAATCATCTAATTATAATGTGATGTAGACACAATCCATACAACTGTTAAATTCTATTTTTGGATTTCTTTTACAAAATTAAGAAAGCAAAATGATTTTCCCAAAATCAATATCAAAATACCAACATTCTTAACATTTCAACATAATTTTTCTTCCAAAAATTACCAAACAAAAATTTGAAAATATATCTATATGCAATACTTCTTATAATGATATATTTTCTCAAAATAACCCTAACATAACTTTAATGTAGAAATATGAAAAAAGTCCCTATCTCAAATATGAAGAAAAACAAATCTGAAAATGCAAACCTCGCCCGATCATGAATCCGAGAATACCATTGCGAAGATCACGACGAGCTCTCAAACTTTCATTTACAACAATTTTACAAAATCTCACTTAAATACTATCATTCTAAGCTTAAAACTTATGTCGACAATGAAAAAAGATGGAGAGGGAAGAAGAGAAAAAAAGATAGAGACGGAGGGGGAACCTCTGTCAACAAAAAAGGAAAAAATGAAGTGAAAGGGAATTTCTGATCCTTGGAGGGAAGCTTAGGATCCTCAGACCCTTTGGCATTTTGCATTTGTTTTGTTGGAATTGTTTGGCCACCCATTCTTCTTTTCCTTTATTTATTTATTTCTTTAATCACATTCATGTCCCCCACTATCAACATACTCACCATTTTTCTTTTGAATTTCCAGGCATCCCACGTGACTCCTCACATAATTCAACACCAAAAATTAATATATAATATATTATAAAATATCTAAAAAATTTATAATATAAATTATAAAATAATATAATTTTTTTCTCAGCACAAAATATAATATTTTTGTGCATCACAAAATATAATATTTGTTCATTACAAAAAATATACCTAATTTCATTCTTCATAAAATATATAATTTTTCACCATATAGTACACACCAAAAAATCAACTATCAAATATTTATTATAATCCTATATAATAAATAATAACAACTCCTAAGGTGGTTACTACTAATCACCTAATTAAAAGGACCAAACAGTTAAACATGAGTCATTTAACAAACTCAAATTAAATTAAGTCTAAATCATGGGTCTCACCCATAAGTCAAACATGGTCCAATTATATACCAAAATAGTCCTAACAAATTTATGTCAAATCCTGGTCCAAACACCAAAAACTCAATTTCAAATTATGCTATGAATTAAACTGAATACCAATTAGTCCGTGAATTTTCATAAAATAACTACTCATCATTAAATTCTGAAAGTTTTACCCAATGTGCTAGACTCATATGGGAACAACATACAAAAATTTCATAATTTTCTGAGATCAGAAACTATTTTAAAAAAATACAAAACCGAACTGTTTTTGCACAGAATTTATACAGCAATCAAATTTGAAAATTTGCTCAATTAAATTATACCCTGGCTATTTAAAAAAAAAATTTGGGTCATTACAAATATGACAATTAAGGAACTCAAAGAACAAGTTGCTGCTCTTACTATTTGTGGCACTCGAATTTGTAAATTTAATTCAATACTGTAATAAATAGAATTCTTTATTAGTATTAAAAAAAAATAATAATAATAATTAGTGTTATGGTTGTAGGCGATAAAATGCAATCTAATTAGATTATTAAAACGTTGGGCCTAATACAAATTAAATCAAAAGTTTCAAAAAAAAAAAAATGGTGATTAATCACCATCATAATATATAGAATGGTAACTAGGTGATCACCAGCTTAGGCCACATAATGGTCACGTAAAGAAAGGGAAAAATAACACCTGTTAGACAGGTGGCCAAGATTGAAGAAGCCCACTTAATCTAAAACCATGCAAACATGTCTATAAATAATATCTGTGCAGTAAGCTTCAGAAGTAAGAAATTGAAAACCATTCGTAGTGAGGTAAGCTTCGAGAACTGAGGGGGTGTAGCTGGGAGTTGTAGTAGGAAAATAAAGACTAATGGTCAATCTTAAGGTGAGTTATATTATACCTTGAGTTACCATAATATATTTTAGAATGTTGTGAGTTACTATAATTTATTTTATATAATTTATATTTTATGGTTATGTTAATGTTTTAATTACGTGGATTATTTTCTGAACTTTATTTGATTAAATTGAAACCTATAGATATGTTTGTTTAAATTTTAGAGATTATTTGACAATAATCTTATGCACAATTATTTTCTATAAGTATCACCACGGGAGTCCCATGCCTTGGGGACTTAAAAAAAAATCATTGGCCCATGTTTGACCACTTTGTAATCTTCTGTTTGTCATGGATCTATTGACCCCTGTTGTGATTGTCACTCTAGTGACCCCTGTTCTGTTCTGTTCTGTATCATGATTATAGTTATTAATGTAATTTCTGTATTTCAGTTTCTGCTATTTAAATAATTTATTTATGCAACTTAAATTATGTTAATGTTTTAGCTTAAATAACTATCCACGGCTATTTTGTACCCCTATACTCACAGTATAATATTTCTCACTCTGCCATGTGCGTATAGCTGTTACCCTTTTCAGGTGACAAGACTTAGTAGGATCAAGATGGGGGATAAACCACAGTGTTTTTTTTTTTTTCTTCCTTTTTTTTGTACAGTCTACATTTCTAATTGGACACCTGGAATAAAATAAAAGCCCAAAAGACTATGCTTGTCTCCTTTTAATAAACATTAGGTACCCAATTATTTTATTTTAATTTATTTAATTTATTCATTTGCGCTACGACTACAAAATTATTTGAATTATTTTATTTTCATCTTGTTGCGACGCCGAGCCTTTGGGTACCGGGTTTGGGTCGTGACACTATTAGGATGGGCATGGTGTCTACTAATATGCAAGAGTTGATACATGATAGACAAGCCAATAATACCTTTTTTAGGAATATCCAAGCGTAGTTGCAGGACTGGCAAGAACAACCTTGCCCTTAATGTGAAGCTCACCTTCCCTAACCTGGCATCAATCTTAATCCACATATAGAACTCGACGACAATGATCGGCGTGTTGGTCCAAATTTTTAGGATTGAACTCTCCGAATTGAATTTCCAAAATTTAACGATATTAATCTTGAAGGGTGGTTATTTCTTGTTGAATAATATCAAGCACTTAATGGTATTTTAGATGCACAGATGGTTCCTTTGGTTGCAGTGCACCTTCAAGGAGATGCTATTTCTTGGTACCGTTGGATTAAATAGTCCCTTGGGGTTTGGACTTGGCAGCAATTTTCTCGAGCCATATGCACTCGTTTTGGTTCTTGACAACACATTGATCATTGTATTTCATTAGTCAAACTGTTTTAGATTGGCACTACTCGTGAATTTATTATGGAGTTTGATCCTTGTAGTTCATTAGTCAAAAAGGGTTATCTGTTATGAAATTGAAAATTTTAAAGGATGAAATGTAATTTCTAGAATCACATGAGACAATTTATATTTTAAGTAAATGTCAATAGATATATTTATAATTTATTATGAACTAGTATTATTTTATTATTGATTAGTCAACAAATTCAATTTTTTCCATTATGCTCAGTCAATTCCATTGACTATATCGCCTATTGTAAACACAATAATAACTATTATAAACACAATAATAACTGGATAAAGTATAAATACACACTTAAAATTTGTTTAAAATATAATTTATCTTTTATAGTTTTAATTACATCTAGTCTCTGCAAATTTTAAATTATATAATAAAATGATCAATTTTATTAATAAATTATTAAATTAATTTATAATTTTTAATGATGTTAAAAATATATTTTAATTAATAATTTTGATAATTTTATTATTGTATAAAAAAATAATTATAAATTTTATTTTTCTTATTAATTATATTAAATAAAAAATTCTAACAAAAAAATATTTATAATTTACAAAACTAAGAAAATAATTCATGTTTTAAACAAACTTTATAGAGACATTTAACAATCCATCCCCAAGTATAAAAAATAAAAAAGTATAGCAATAGACCAAGAAAATTGACAATATGGCATTTTACAGGGACATTTTATCCGTCAATCACTGAGAAATCGCCAACCTGAAAACCATGAACCCTGAAGACGGTGACGTTTTAGTGTCCAATGGTGAGACCTTCGCACTAGGGTTTTTCAGTACCAAAAATGGAAGCATGTGAGGGACAAGTGTTTGAGAAATTGTTCATGCTCAGCTTACACTAGTGAAGGAGGAGGCATTTGCATCACGTGGTATGGGAATTTGACGGATACAAGAGTGTTCTCTAATGGGGGATTGGACTTGTACGTACGGGTGGATGCAGTCGAATTAGGTATGTTAAATTAAATTGTTAGCCCATGCTGAAGTTTTAATAGCAAGTTTCATGTTTTGTGCCAAGAAAAATGAACAATTGTGACCATAAAAGTCATATACAAGACAATCAAAGTTGATTAAATCTCTCCATCTAATCAATGTATTTTTTTTTTAAATAGTTTTTTTTTTTCACAAAGAAACTTGATCTGGGTTTATTTCACCAAAATTTATTTTGTTGAGGAAAATATTTTCTCAGAAGGTTGAGATTGTTACCTTGAAATCAAAAGTAAGGAAGGCAGTGATATTTAGTAAAAGGAGTGTCAGTGTGTATGGTTTTCTTTGTTTTCAGCAGCTCAACAATATTCAAAGAAGCCCAGAAGTTTACATGGAAAGATAGTGGCCGTTTGTTGCTTCTTATTACGATCCCCTTGGTGTATTGGTTGGTGATTATAAAGAGAAGAAGAGGTAAAAGAAACTGCTTTTCTTCATCTTGCATTTGTTCCCGTTAAAGTGTTTGTTGGTTTGTAGCTAACGTGTTTGTTGTTATGCTTCTTAGGGAGCCTGAGCTTACTTTATTTGGAACTGCTGGTTTTTATGTTTTTGCTGTCAGGGGTGGTGTTTATAAGGGCTTTCTAGTTGTACTATTGTCTAAAAAAAAAAAAATTTGTTAACTACATGGACTCAAGGTTTGTTGTCTCTTCTGGTGCTGTGTTTTTGGGAAGTTTTTGATCCGACCGTGGCTGTCTCCTTGGTGATTTTTTTGGTAGATGCATGACGCTCTTTTTTGCTTTGCTTTAAGGATCAAGTTTAGCTTGGACGTTGTTTTGGTATAGGTTTTGTGGGTGCTTTGCAGGTTGTTTTGGAATTGCAGTTGGTTTTGAATCCCTTTTGGTATGGTATTAGTGATCATGGCTCTTTGTTTGGAACTACTTTAGGCGTGGCTTTCAGTTCATTGTTGGTTATTAGTTTTGTTTCTTTTAGGTGCCTTTGCCGTGGATTGTTTATGTGTGAGGCTTTGGTATAGTTCATGATATGCTTGGTGCATGTGTCAACTTGTAGAATATGTTTCTAAAGCTTTGATGCTATTTCTTGTCCTGTTTTATATTGATGTAATTTTTTATACCCGTTGTATTTTGTTCTACATCAATAAATTTTCTTTTGACGATAAAAGAAAAAAAAGAAAAAAATAAACTGCTTTTCATTCATCTTGCATGTCTGTTAAGGTGTTTGTTGGTTTGTAGCTAAGGTAAGGTGTTTGTTGTTATGCTTCTGAGGCAGGCTGAGCTTACTTTATTAGGACCTAGTTGTTTTTATATTTTTGCTTACTTTATTAGGAGCTACTTGTACTACTGCCTAAAAAAAATTAAAAAATATATATATAATATATATATATTTGTTAACTACATGGACTTAATTACTAAAGTTGTTATATCTTTTAATATTGGTTTTTAATAATTTGGACCCTTAATTTCTGTCATCTATGGTGTAGTGTTAGTATGTGTGTGTGCCAGAGATTTTGGTGTGCCAAAGGGGTGAGTGGGTGTCCTTCCATCATAGAGAGCATGTTTTGGTGGGATAGAATTACATGGTTCATCTTCTAAATGTTTTTGTTGGTTTTTGCACAACCCTTGATTAGATTTTGTTGTGTGTGTGTGTGTGTGTGGAAAAATTAATATACTTGTGATATCCTATTATAGTGGATCTGTTGATTGTCTTTACCTATGGACATTTAGGTCTATTGGTGGGTGAACTGTAAATTTTTGTGTTTTGTGATCATTCTTTCTACTTACTTTTTATTTCATATTTTTCACTCTCAATTGCAGAACAAAACTTGACAAGCATTAAATTTTCTTGTGTTTTGTGATTAACTGAGGCAGGAGGCAACATTCAGATCAAAAAAAAAAAAAAAAAAACATTCAGATCAATGATGAAGAAAAAGTAGAATTACCTATCTTTGATATCGCCACCATTAGCAGGGCAACTAACAAGTTTTGTGACGCAAATAAAATTGGAGAAGGTGGTTTTGGGCCTATTTACAAGGTTAGTTTATTCCATTCCTACACTAGCTATTTTAATGGACAAATGCTATAAGCTTTCGCATGATGATCAAACTAAATCTTTATGTTGATTATCATAGGGTCTGCTATCAACTGGAAAGGAGATAGCTGTCAAACGGCTCTCAACTACCTCGAAACAAGGTCTTAATGAATTCAAAAGTGAAATGACTTTGATTGCCAAACTTCAATACCGTAATCTGGTTATGCTTTTGGGATGTTGCATCCATGGAGAAGAAAGAATGTTAATTTACGAGTACATGCCCAATGGAAGCTTGGATTCTCTCATTTTTGGTTTGCCCTCTTGACCTTCCTCATCTATGTATTGTTAGCTTGGAATTCATATTTGACCAATGGAACAGAAAAGTATGTTAATAGAAGAAGTTTGTCTCACTACAATAATGTAAGCAATCCTATATATCACCGGGTATTCTTGGTCACTATTTTCTTAATAATTATTCATCAAACAATGAAATTGATTACACCTATCCAAGTAGGTGCTGAAATAGAATAGTGACAGAAAAACCAATGGCATATATTATTTTTGAAATAGAATAAATTTTAAAATCTTATAAATTAAAGAAAACCTTAAGCCCCTGTATTCAAAGCAGGTGTAGAAAACACAATAAGTAAATCACTTACATGGAGGAGACGCTTAGATATTATTGTTGGGATTGCTCAAGGGGTTCTTTATCTACATCGAGATTCAAGATTGAGAATTATTCATAGGGATCTCAAAGCCAGCAATGTCTTATTGGATTGTGGGATGAATCCTAAAATTTCAGATTTTGGCCTAGCTAGGACTTTTGGAGGAGATCAATCATCCGCAACAACAAGAGTGGTTGGAACTTAGTAAGTGCAATACTCTTTTTCCTTATACAGACTCAGCTAAGAAGTCACTAGCTTTTTTAGTACATCTCTAAAGCTCATTTTGCACTCATTTCTAAATTGTTTGGTAATGGTATGTAGTGGTTACATGTCACCGGAATATGTAATTGATGGACTCTTTTCAATAAAATCCGATGTCTTTAGCTTTGGAGTCATGATATTAGAAATATTGAGTGGCAAAAGCAATAGGCGATTCCATCATCCAGACCATAATTTTAACCTTCTTGGGCATGTAAGTTCATTTAGTTTGTTTTGTTTTGTTTTTTATGTTTATATTTTTTATTTTTTAGTCAAAAACATCTGTCAGTTTCATATCATTTTCATTTTGTAAGAAAACAGTGTTCAAAAATTCAAACACAACCTTTTCTTGTTTCTTGAAAAATAGGTTGTTTTAAATATTTAAAAAAAAAAAAATAGTTTTCAAATTGAAAGAAAAGAAAAACACAATAAAACAATTATATTTGTCAATTATTGAATTTTGTTATGGCTATATTGAATCATTTTAGGCATGGAAACTTTGGATAGAAGGGAAGGCATTTGAGCTATTAGATCCACTGGTGGAGGGTTCATTTTCAATGTCAGAAGTACTAAGGTGCATACAGATTGGTCTTTTATGCGTGCAAAAATGCCCCAAAGATAGGCCAACTATGTCAACTGTGCTCTTAATGCTGATTACTAAGACTATAGTGCTGCCCCAACCCAACCAACCTGGCTTTTATACAGAGAGGAAATCTAGTGACACAAAAATTATTTGTTGGCTCCGAGCAACAATATGACTATGTCACAACTAGATCCTCGATTAAATTGTTTGAAATAATTTATTAGTGAATATACTATAAGACACTACTACCGAGAATGATAAATAAATCATCACAAACCACATATACAAATTTGTAAATTTGTAAATTTGTAAAGTGCTTTGAGATATAGCCATCAACCATGATTGATTTGATTTATTTATAAGACTCTCTTTTTTCTTTTTATTTTTTTCTTTTTTTACATCAACAGTTGAGGAAGAGATCAACCATTCCATGAAGAACAGGTTAACAAAAATGGCATTTCTAAATTTTTTTCAGTAAAGGGCAAAAAATTATTGCTTGCTACTCGGCATTGGTCTACATTAACAAGAATATGCCACACCTTTCACCTACCTTTCTGTAATTTTTTTTTTCTTTATAAATAATTTCATAGGCATATATTATTTTTGAAATAGAATTAAATTTTAAAATCTTATAAATTAAAGAAAACCTTAAGCGCCATGTAGAAAACACAAGAGGTAAATCACTCACATGGATGAAACACTTAGATATTATTGTTGGGATTGCTCAAGGAGTTTTTTTTTTATTTACATTGAGATTCAAGATTGAGAATTATTTATAGGGATCTCAAAGCTAGCAATGTCTTATTGGATTGTGGGATGAATCTTAAAATTTCGAATTTTGGTCTAGCTACGGCTTTTGGAGGAGATCAATCATCCCCAAGGAGAAGAAGGGTGGTTGGAACTCAGTGAGCGTACAGAGCCACTAGATTTTTGAGTACATGTTTAAAGCTTGTTTCGCTCTAATTTCTAAATTGTTTGGTATGCAACGGTTACATGTAATATGCAATAGACGGTCTCTTTTCAATGAAATCCATTATCTTTAACTTTGGAGTTACAGTGGGTGTTTGGAAAGTGAGTTTTTATGTAAGTTTTTTTAGTTGTAGGATATTATTGGATAAAAAATTTTTAGTGTATGGGAAGATAGTTGGGTTTTTTTGTGGTTGGATGTGATGTTTATGAGAGAGAAAAAGTTAATTGATTATAGGGTTGGATGTGATATTTTGTTTGGATATATTTTTTTTTGGTTTTACAAAAAGTTTGTCTTTTAGTGAAAAAAATCAAAAAAAAAAAAATCCCAAACGCAATTTCCCAAACACCACCATAGTCTTAGCCTCCGTTTGACAAGTTGGGTTAGGGGCTTTTTTGGCTATTTTAGCCACAAAAGACAAAATAGGCTATTTTTGTCACAGAAAACAAAACATCACATCCAACCCATAATCATTACACTCTTCTCTCACAAAAAAAGTCAAAAAAGTCAAAAAGTCATTTCCAAACTAAACTTTTTAGCCAGGTTAAAATAGTAAAAAAAGTTAAAAAGTCAACCCACTTCTCAAACCAAAATATTGAGTGAAAAAAGCAATATGCAGTTCCATCATCGGACCATTATTTTAACCTTCCTGGACATGTAAGTTCACCTAGTTTGATTATATTTTTATATTTTTATTTTTGTTCAAAAACACCCATAAGTTTCATATCATTTTCATTTTGTGAGAAAATAGTATTCGAAAATTTGAGCACAACTTTTTGTTGTTCCTTGAAAGCAAGCTGTTTAATTTTTTTTCAAAATAGTTTTCAAATTGAAAGAAAAGAAAAACACAATAAAACAAGTCTATTTGGATTGAATCATTTCAGGCGTTGACACTTTGGACTGAAGGAAAGGCATGTGAGCTATTAGAGCCACTAGTAGACGATTCATTTCCAATGTCAGAGGTATTAAGGTGATCTTCTATGCATGCAAAAATATCCTGAAGACAGACCAATTATGTCAACTGTGCTTTTAATGTTGATTACTGGGACTATAGTATTGTCCCAACCAAAATAACTTGGTTTTTATGTAGAGAGAAAATCTAATGACGCAAATTACGTGTTGGCTCAAAGCAATGAAATTTTAAAGCTGGTAGAAAATTTTAGTTGTGAATATACTACAATCACTACTACCAATGTAAACAAATCATCACAAAACAAATGAATAAAATAGTCAAACAGGCAAATTTGTAAATTGAAAATAAAGTAGAAGATTTGGCTTGTGATTATGTGAAATATGAAATCATTGCTCTAAAGATGTAATTGTTGTTCACATGGTTTGTGAAAATTTATGTGGAAAAAAACAAAGAAAGAAAAAGAAGTGTCCCTTACTGCTTTTCTATGATCCAACACAAAATCATGAATTCCATCCTTCATAATCCCATAAAATACCGCCCATCCATGCCTAACAGCACCGAATAACCCTTCAACGCCAAGTATTTTCCTTGTTGGAAAATGACGAGTAAACCAATCCTAAAACAATCAAAAGAAGGCCATCATGCAAAGAGACTTTTGTCCTTGTGCAACTACTCCATAAAGTGATTGCAACTGTATTTGATTTTGGGAATCACCTTTTATAAGGTTGAACAAAAATAGTTAGTTTGCTACTTTTTTAGATAATCATAATAATTTTTATTTTTATTTTTATTTTTATAGTAGAGGTTAAAGTGAATGAAGGGGATGCAAATGATAGACACTACGATAAATAAAGATAAATATATATTTTAGTAAAAAATAGATGATAATATCATTTTTTTTTACTTATACAACTAATGAATGAAGAAGAGCGTAACTGTTATGCTAATTAAAAGTTCAAGGGAGATTAGTATAATTATATTAAAAATATAAAACTAATTGTAATTTTTTTCAAATCTCAGAAAAAGTGAGTGCAATTTACCTTAATTTTTATTTATTTATCACAATAGATGTGGTTGCAAATGCACGTTATTTCAAAAACTTCAAAGTTGAAAATATTGATAATATTTTGTATCATCCTCCATGCATGATATCTACCACCCAAAACATTTTAAAAAAGAAAAACCTTTTAGAGCTCTAATATAGGAGTTCTAATGGGAGGTGAGTTCCATTGTGATGTGTTGCAATGTTTTTGCCATTTTTTTTTTTCTTTTGTTTTTGATTTTTCATTTCATTAGAGCTCAATTAGAGCTCTAAAATTAAAAGGATGTATCATTGTTGTAAAAAAAAAAAAAAAGAAAAAGAAAAAGAAAAAGAAAATATTGGTGACTGAAAAATGTTTGGTACAATTTATTGAGATGCTTATAATTTTTTTTTTATGTTAAAAATCTGTGCTAAAATATTCTTGCAGTTTTTGTTTATTACCTATGATGCAAAAATAAAATTAAAAAAAAATAATTATCAAAAAATTAAGAGAAAACACTTTTAACTTCTAATCTTTTTTAATATTAATTTTATCTTATAATAAGCAGGAAATAGGATGATAGGGTCATTTTGGCTCCCAACTTGATAATCCGAGTTGTTCAATTTTTTAAATATATCAATTAGATTATATCTGTAAAAAATTAAATTGATCGGATATCAGTAATTCTTTCATCAAATTATATTTACTTAAAAAATTACATTTACTATATATAATATTTTTGAAAATATAAGTTAGAATAATAAAATATTTTAAATTAAGATGAACGGAGCATAAAGTGTTACATCATTTTATATATGAATTCAATATAATTTTTTTTGGCATAAATTTCATTGACTTCCTTGAAATTTGGATACAACAAATTATAGGTTTTGAGATAATTAAATGTTAGAGAACATATTTGAAAAAATAATTAACTAAAATAAAAATAAAACTTTTAATTAAAATTTAATTTAAAATTTAACTATTTTAATCACTACAAAAATAAAGATTTTAGAAACAAAAATTTAAGGACAAAATTAGTTTTTAGAGACCAAATAATTTTGTTGCGAAAAGTATCGTTATTATATTTTTAGTAACAAAAATTGGACATTCGTGATGAATTATTATCCATTTGGGACTAAATTTTTTGTCTCAAAAAATAAATTATTTTGAAACCAAATTATTTTGTCCCTAAAAGTTTATTTATTAGTGACATTTTCAAAATTTTGTCACTAAATGCCTTGTTTTTGACTTTTCGGGATCACCTTATAGCGACTATCATCATGACGATGAAAATTTGTCCCTAAATATCTTTTACAACAAAATTTTCACTTTTAGAAATCAAAAAATTTGATATTTAAAACTCTTATATGTTGTAGTGAATAGAGACGCTTTTACCATCTTGATTCAAAGTACATGGTCATCTTGACGTTGTTTTCCAAATAAAGATTGAGGACATTTTCAAAATTTTGTCACTAAATGCCTTGTTTTTGACTTTTCAGGATCACCTTATAGCGACTATCATCATGACGATGAAAATTGGTCCCTAAATATCTTTTACAACAAAATTTTCACTTTTAGAAATCAAAAAATTTGATATTTAAAACTCTTATATGTTGTAGTGAATAGAGACGCTTTTACCATCTTGATTCAAAGTACATGGTCATCTTGACGTTGTTTTCCAAATAAAGATTGAGGCTTATTTTCCAATACGGTTAAAAATTATTTTCTTTATTTTTTAATATTCTAAGTCATATTATTTCTTTATTTTTTTATATATTTTTTAAAAAAATAACAAAAATTAAAAATTAAAAATTCAACTTTTAACATATTGTTCAAAATAGGATTGAAACACTAGTGTCCAATCGGTTTAATTTTCTTTGAATCAACCCAGTTTTTTTTCCATGGTGCTTGGTCAAATCCGTTGACTATCTTGCCTATTGTAAACACAATAGCATCTTCTAGGAAAATTAGTACAATCACATGTCTTAAAAGAAAAAAAAATATGAAGTTTAATTTTAAAAATAAATAATTTATTTTTTAAAATAAACATGAACCGATCATATGGATATCAATGCTAGATAATCTTAATTATTTGACATGGATTATTTTTTTAATAGACATTACAAAATGAACGATTTAAATCATTAAAATACATTTATCATAAGGTCATCAACATGACCTCTCTAGTTGGATCCCCAAATTGAGGAGAATTCATTGTGTTTGATTTCAATTTTTTGAATTTAATTTTTTGAAAATTGAGTTTTTTATTTTTCGTATTTTTTGTTTTTAGTACATATTTTAAAAATTTTAAGTAATTTTTTTTTATTTTTTAGATGCACCTTACTTAGATGTATCTAAAAAGTAAAATATTTTTGAAAAAAATATTTTAAAAAATTAATAAATACACAAAAATACGAAAAATATACTGCATTTTTGTATTTTTTTTGTAT